GAGAGGGTATAAAGAGTGGAATAACACGGCGTGTGCATAGAATCGGAGGAAAAGCGATGCGGCGCGCAACGGTGGGGAATGTCAAATGAGCTGTGTAACAGCGTCAAGGCTGTATATTATCGTTGTCAATACATCAAGGTCCCGGTGTACATGTACAGCCACGTGTCTCCGCGGAGGAAGCGTAACGTTCGGTACACCGAAATTGAATTCTCTCCTTGATAGCGGAATATTAAAGTATCTGCCTCTCCGATGTCGGCCGTGTATCGAAACGGCAATGTCAACGCCGTTAATTTATCGCAACGAAGCGTGTACGCCTGGCAGACCGTCGTACAGTTTTTAATTTCGAGCGACATACTTCGGATTCGATCGGCGCCGAACGAGATCGATTCCCTCTTAAGGCCTGTGCCCACGACGCTTGGTTCTCGTTCCGAGAAATTTTACGGAAGAGCTGCAAGCTGATTGGCTAAACATTTATCGAAACTACAACTTGGACCAAGTTCTAGCATCGTGGACGCAGGCCTTTAGACTCGAGGAAAGTGATCAATGGCAGTCGAAAAACGTAGTCATTTTGAAACTCAATCAATATGCTGAAATATTCGATTGGTTGAAGTTCTCAAGTCTTATCGCCTGAGTTTTTTCGCGTGTCTACAATATATATGTAGCGTGAGCCTAGAGTGAGTCCCAGTCTACGATAAGTGATTCAAGTCCTAGACCCTAGGAAATTTGTCAATCACAGCTGAGTTTTCTCTTTTTTACTGTGATGAATCACATTCTTAAGATCTGCGTCCACAGTGCTAGAACGTGGTCCGCGTTGCAGATCCGAGAAATGTGTAGCCAATCAACTCGCAGCTTTTCCATAAAAGCTGCTAGCTGATTGGCTACACGTTTCTCAGATCTGCAACTCGGACCACGTTCCAGCACCGTGGCCACAGGCCTTTATGCGTCGTCTACAATACGTGGAGTAAGCTTGGAGTAAAGAGTAAGAGAGAGCCATAATTTCTAGCTTTTGGTGTAAGGAAGCTAAAATACGAGCATGGTTTTTAAAATATTTGTAACACTGATTGATGGCATTTTGATTCACCGAGAGTAAACCTAAGGGCTGAAGTAGGAGTAAGAAATAAAATGGATTTATTTCCTTACTCCTGCTCCTTACTCCAGCTTACTCCATGTGTTGTAGACCAGCCTTTATGCGTGGTCTACAATACGTGGAGTAAGGAGTAAGGGAGAGCCCTAACTTCTAGCTTTTGGTGTAAGGAAGCTAAAATACGAGCATGGTTTTTAAAATATTTGTAACACTGATTGATGGCATTTTGATTCACCGAGAGTAAACCTAAGGGCTGAAGTAGGAGTAAGAAATAAAATGGATTTATTTCCTTACTCCTACTCCTTACTCCAGCTTACTCCATGTATTGTAGACCAGCCTTTACAAAGTGGACTTTTACTTCTCGCGCTTGCCGAAACGTCGAGGCCGAGATTGCTCGCCGCCGCGAATCGGCGGTTATCGGCGGTTACACCGACGAGCGGCGCGTAATCGTGATAATCGTAAAGCGGCGGATATTTTTAGCCTCGCGCGGCGCGCCGGCACTCGGTCGCCTCCGCGACCTTCCGATCTTGACACTGAGACTTCCTTTTTCTATCGCTTTTTCCGCGAGCGTCGCCGCGCTCGCGCGCGCGCGTGCCGCGTCGGTTACGAGCGTTACCTGCCCGCCTGCCGGTCTTACGAAACGGCCGGATGAATCAGATATGGAGATAAACTCACCTAATTATGCGGCGCGCCGAGTCACCGTGGGAGGCGCCGATGGGGAGCGAGGATCTAAATTCGATCGTGACGAGCGGGAAAACGCGCGGTAGGGAGCACCGCGAGGATGATCCTCTCGCGGACTCTCCCCCGGGCGTTACGCGTTACGCGTCCGCACGCGAGGGAGCGTGCGTCTTCGACGAGAGCGCAACCTCGTCCGGTATATCACGCCAACCTTCGTGTCGCCAACGTGTTATCAACAATTACGTGGAGGAGCCTGTTCAATTATACGTTATCGGAGAAGCATAAAATCATCGGCAAACTGAAAAACAACGTTGTTCGGCGATATATTTTTACGAAGCAGCGAGCGCGCGCGCGTGAGAGGGAGACACGTGAAAGATAACGCGCGCGTGTTTTTCAGCACGGAAAGTGAAAACGCGAGCGAGATAACGGGGCGACGGACAAAGTGTACGCCGGGACAAAGACGGGCGCGCGGATTAAATTAAGAACGGCGTTGGAGAGAAAATGCAGCTCGCGGCGGGCTCCGTTTCTCGCGGAAATGGAAAGCGCGACGGCATTTAAACGGCTCGGTGGGGGGGGGGAAGGGGGGAATAGAAATACATTCGCGACGGGCACGAATTGCGGCGAGATTTGGCAAGAAGCTGCCCGCGGTGTCGGGCACCGTAATTACGTGATTTCGACGTACCGCGGAGGACGGTTTTCACCTAACTTCCTCGTTTTCACCGGGCGAGCGCCGTTCTACTTTCCCCTGAACTCTCGAGGTCTGACCCACGCCTGCGTAAGCCGAGTCGAATATCCCCCGCGATCGCTCCGACAAAGAGATGTTGATCTAGGGGCTCGCACCTCCTCCACCCCTCGAGAATCCCTTAAGCAAACGGGGAGAGAATCCTGCCTTTGTACGACTACGATTTTAAAGCGGTGCTGAAGAGGCGCGTAATGCAGAAAGACGTGCGAAAGACCCGCGGCAAGATATAATCTCTTCGATTATAGTGCAATATTTAGACGCGAGTAGTAGCTTTCCTTTGCCTTATCTCGATTGCTTAATTGACGTTTATTCGCCGCAACGCTTATCCAATTTGCGAGGGTCCTCCAAGGATATCTCCGTCCGCCGCAGTTTTCCGCTCGCCCTCGAGTTGAAAATTAAAACAATGGATTTTACGGATTTGCATATTCCGCACGACATCCGCGCTCCTAGCGTCGTCCTCTCGTCGGCGAGACCTCTCGCTGTTCCGCTTATACTTTCTAGTGGCGAGGCGCGATCGCTTTCTCACAAAACGGAGCGCCGGAGTTACGATAAAATCATTTGTGTGTCTCTCTCTCTCTCTCTCTCTCTCTCTTTCTCTCCCTCCCCTCTCCCGTCTTTTTTTGCCCCGAATAACGACTCTCCCCCCGCGCGATCTGACGATGCCCCCGGCGGTATCTAGCGCAAAAGCAACGTGGGAGTATAGCGTTGGAAGTGTGGCGTGGAAGTGAAAGTTACGGTCCCGAACGCACGAACGGCCGAACGGAGAACGCGATCCGCTCGAAAAGTCGAGTCGCGACGTGGTTCTCTCTCTTTCTCTCTCCCGCGAAATCGGAGAAATTCGCCGCACGAAAGTGCGCCACTCGAGAAAAAACCCGCGGAATCCCGACGATATAATGACACAGTAACACCGAATGCGCAGCGGCTCGATTTGTCGCACGTCGGCGCCGAATTTTCAAGTGAAACGCTAGAAGCGCTATTTCCTTAAGCCAACGGCACACGATACTATTTTTCCCCTACTGGATCGCTTACGAGAGTCAATCAGGATGTAGCTTCAAGTCACCTGATCTAAAACTCTGCATCCTTATTGGTGCAATCCAGCAGGAAAAATAGTATCGTGTGCCGTTGGCTTTAGTCCCACTGCTTGAGATTTTTCGTACATTGCCAGCCTTAAGCGTCGTCTACAATGAACGCAAAACGCAAGACGCTAGGCCGCAAGCAAGAAATCGACCAATCACAGTCAAGTATGAGAAGAAAGATCGACTGTCGTTGGTCGATTTCTTGCTTGCGGCCTAGCGTCTTGCGTTTTGCGTTCATTGTAGACGACGCTTTAAACTTCAGGCCGAGCAGATTCTCGGAATTCCGCTTAACCCTCCGACGATAAGTTAAAGGAATCTCACCACACTCGAGCTACGCCGCGTTTATTCTATCGGAAAATTATTACCGTTACCTAATTATTACTTTTATTGCTCATCTCGCCGAAGGGATGCACCTTCGACGCGCGGCAGGAGCGCGCGAGTGTCTTCGCGCCGCGAGAGCGAGACGGACTCGAGGGCGAGAGCTCGCTCGATTCGGTTTCCGTTTCCTGGTCGGCCAGGTCGCCCGATGGCGTCCGATGAACCTTGCGGGGCTAATGTACTTGACTTGCCTCCCGAGCGGTTCCGTACTTGGTACCGCACGTGAGGCACCATCGCGTGTCCTACGTACCCTTCCTCCGTCATCCTTGCTCTTCCCTCTCTCGCCGTTCGTCCCCCCCTTGGCGCGCCTTCCTCTGGCTCTCGCGATCGATGACGTTTTCTCCAGAGGGCTCGATTCTAGGAGATTCAAACGAACAACAGTCGAGCCGTGCTCGACGGTGATTCGTCATCGTGAAACAAAGTGGCGTCTTTCGTTGCGCGTAAAACGAAATGCGGCGAACAATGACGACGGAAAGAGATGTCTGGCAAATATAGAAATGCGTATGTACGGGTCCATAGTACGTCGATTCTCAGTCGGGTTGCAAGAATTTTCGTCCTCGCAATTACATTTTCCTCCAACCCTGCAATCTTTATTACACTGTAATGTGCACGTGGGCAGCGTGAAACTTGATGATAACGATGTAAAAATATGAAACTCGCGCGTACTCTCGAAAGGGTCGCCGAAACGGCGTCGAACGCGCTCGACAGTGTCCCCGGGAATTAATTTCCAATCCGATAGTTCGGGCCGAGCTCGCGGGGACTCGTCGGTCAATTATAGCCACGTTGCAATACCGTTTCGCCGAGTGTCGAACGCAGATCCCCGCCGCCCGTACATTTACCGGGCTGATCCAATAAGCTCCTCCTGTCCCGGCGTACGTCCAGAAATATGGAGAGGGTCGACGACCCCATGACGTAACGCGAACACGCGCGCACAATTAACGACATTCTGCCGGGCGCGCGGGCAGAGATGACTCGAAAACTCGCCGCCGCCTCGGTTATCCACCCGAATTAACCGGACCGTCTTTTTTTCTTCCTCTTGCAGACTTGCGGTGAGCGACTGTGCGCCTCAGACGTCGCGGGTCAGCTCGAACCTGCACAGCAGCAGTAGTATGGCGGTGAGCCGCGTCCCGAGCCCGCCACCGCCGGAAGTGAACACCCCCGTGGCCGAGAACTGGTGTTACACGCAGGTACGTTTCGTCGTTGGTGGTTCATTGTCCTCACCGCCTGGAGCTCTCCGCTGCCGCGGTTTAGCGATCGATTCACCTGCCCCGAAATTCACCCAGTCACCGTGAGCGGCGGAAATCGCTAGCGAGACGCAGCGGATTGTATCGTTATATATTTTTCATTATCTCTCGTCGCCCACTCCACGTCGCTCTGTCGACGATTACGTCGTTTTGTCTTAATCCAACCTCAGGGACTCTCTGCTTGAAGTGAGACCCGCTTGTCAATGCGGTTTACACGTGCTATTTTAGACGTGGGAATGTTATTGCCATAACAGGATTCAATTCTTGTCCTATGCTAGAAAAGTATTTTTAGGACCGTTTGACGTCTTCGTGAAAATAATTCGTTAGATGCCAACGTCTGACAATTGCTGTCCCTCGCGAATGACCAGTATGAATTGTGAATCGCGTTCGTCTGGAAGCTGAAACCATGTATACTCGGGATACATTCCACTTATTTTTATATATCGCGCGGTTTAGATTTATATCTTTGCCGAGTCGAGGAATTTATTTCCGAACTCTCCACAAAACACGACAGACAGTTCAGTCTCGAATAGATGATTCTAAATTCGTGCTTCCAAATCGCTACATTAAAAGCTGTTTCAGGCAAAAGGAGACTGCATGAGTCAGTGAAAGGAAAAAAATCGGGTAAAAAATGTTTTCAGAGCAAAGAGAAGCTTTTAATTTTCAGGTAGAGACTTTTCCAGTCACGAGGCTCTTTGGCTTTTCGTCTTGAACGTTTTTCATCCGATTTGCTTTGCTGTATCCGACTCAAACAGCCCCTCCTTAAAGCCTGTGTTACACGGTGCTAGAACTAGGTTCACGTTCTAGTTCCGAGAAATGCGTAGCCAATTAGCCTGCAGCTTTTATGGAATAGCTGCAGGTTGATTGGCTACACATTTCTCGAAACTAGAGCTTGAACCACGTTTTAGCATCGTGGACACATTTCTCGAAACTAGAACCTGGAACCAAGTTCTAGCATCGTGGACACATTTCTCGAAACTAGAGCTTGAACCAAATTCTGGCATCGTAGACACGGGCCTCGAGAAATGTAGCCAATCAGCTTGCAGCTTTTATGGAATAGCCGCAAGTTGATTGGCTACGCATTTCTTTAAACTAGAACTTGAACCAAGTTCTAGCATCGTGAACACAGGCCTCGAGAAATGTGTAGCCAATCAACTTGCAGCTATTCCATAAAAGCTGCAAGTCGATTGGCTACACATTTCTTCAAACTAGAACTTGAACCAAGTTCTAGCATCGTGGACACAGGTCTTTAGCCCATACGAAAAATTCTCATGAGAATCGCTTTTCCTCCCGACGTTCCGCCGCTTCCGCGAGCGCGGATTCCAGGACGACGGATCATCCGCGCTCTTTCAATCGCCGGGCGAATCCGGCGGATTCCGGCGCGCAATCTCGCGTACGCACGCGAGCCACGGCGGGCACGTGGACGCGAGGGGGACATAGGGCGAGGACGGGGGGGGGGGTGGTGGCAAAGAAGGAAGGCCTCTCGCGCGCGCCCAGAGAGACGCGGAGAATCCGCGCCAGCGGATCGCCGGCGCGTAGCGCGCGCGTGAGAGCACGCGCTCCTGGCGCTCTCATTCTATTTTTACCGCGCTCGTCCCCCTCGCGCGATGTGAACGACCTGCAACTAGATATCTCTCGTCGCTCTCCTCCCGTCCTCCTGCCGGTGCCGCGGTCTCCCTCGCGGCCGACGGTCGCGGAAACGTCCCGCGATTCCTCGCTGGAGATCCGCGCGGCCGCCGCTCCCTTGTCTCCCCCCTCGCCCGCCCTCTCGTCTTCCGCAGTTATTTCCGCTTCGCGTGGCCGACCGCGCCGCGCCGTACGATTCGGGCGGACAAAGTCGCCGGCTCCCGCGTCCCCACGTCGACGTCCTGGATACTATGGATAAATGGATAGAGGTTCATTATCAGCCTGGGCGAGTCTTCCCCTCCCGGCTCCGGGAGATCCGCAACAATGGACAATTGTCCGTTGACAGCGGTAGGGATGGTAGAGTTTGGAAAACGAAGTAACATCGGTATAATAATAGACGGCTGTACATGTGCGTGTAGATAGCGCCGATAAGCACGATAAATATAAATAAATTTACAAAAATAATGGAAAATATAGCGGCTCGTCGCTGATATTGATACTGAAATTCGCGCGTTATCTCGGATCCCAGGCTAGACACGACTCGCTCTCCTACACGCGTCTCTCCCTGAAGCGGGAGAGAGAACGAGACGAAGTTGGACGTGCGCTCGTAAATAAAAAAAAAGCGCCCGCGGAGGCTGCGATCGCCTCGATAGTTTCGCGCGGCCACGTTACACACACGTTCAACTCCACCGTTCTAATTTCGACAGCGCGGCGCAGAAAATGCGAACGTTATTACATTCGCTTTCTCGCGGGAGTTGCGCAAGAGCCTCGGCCGCTGCGAAATTTTAACGACACGACCGTCCCGGCGCGGCGCGGCGCCGCACCGCGCGAATCGATGGAGCACACGCTTGCCCACCGCCGCGCGTCCAGCGGCGCGCGTTCGCCTATAAATCGAAAGTCAATTCGTGCTCCAGTTAACTTTCGTAATGCGCGACACCGATTTCGCCGCGGCGACGCGGGGACCTCGCACCGGCGTCACGTAACATCATCCGCGCGATCTGCGGCAACGCGCTCGCGGCCAGCCTAGAGTCCCCCTAGCCCAGGGTCTGGCCAGCGGGGCCAGTTTCGACAAGGTGATGCGAGAGAGAGAGAGAGAGAGAGAAAGAGAGAGAGGAATATACAGGGTGTCCCAGGAAGAAAGGTCAATATTTTGGGAGCTGATGGTATCGGTCATTCTAAGCAAAAATGTTCATATGAATATACGTCCCGTTCCCCACTGTTTCCGAGATAGACCTATTTGAACGTACAGTTGCAAAATTACTGACGAGAAAGAAATACTGCGTACTATTTCTAATAATTATTGTTCAAGTGATACATTTTTTAATGAACATTATAAATTTAGCCAAAATTCCACCGTTGACAACAATGCATTTTTCAACTCTTGCGTGCTGCTCGTTCGACGTTTGTGAATATGCGAGGCATTTTGGACATTTCTACAATGTCATCGGCACAACAGTTAACAGACGTACAAGAGTAAATTCCCGCGGATACGTTTATGAGGTTGGACGAAGGGTGAAGTGTACAGAAGAAAAGTAAAACACGAGGCATTCAAGTAGCTCTATCTCGGAAACAGTGGGGAATGGGACATATGTTAATATGAACATTTTTGCTTAAGATGACCGATACTATCACCTCCCAGAACGTTGACCTTTTCTCCTGGGACACCCTGTATTCCCTCTCGCTCTGCATGGAGAGAATTTTCTCTTAAAATTTACCCCGAAAATCATGTAATTGTGGGACAACGTGGCATTTTTCAGAACCTCGTGAGAGTTTTTGGAAAGTTTACCATACATTTTGCTAGTAGGACTCTCGTAAAATGCTTCGAGGTGTCGCGTTGTCCCACGATTACGCGATTTTCGGGATAAATTTTAAGAGAAGATTCTCTCCGTGTTGAATGAGAGGGCGTATATTCCTTTCTCTCCCGCATCACTTTGCCGAAATTGACCTGTTGGCCAGACTCTGATCAGAGGGACTCTGGGCCGACCGGGTCGCGTGCGATCCGCGTGTCAAAGGGTTGCGATAATGGGCGCCGATTTAACGGTGGAACCTCGCGTCGCCGGCCGCGGGACGCCGGAAGGAGCGATTCCGGGTTCAAGGTTGACAAAGCGGTTACGAAACGATTACGTCATCGTCCAAAATCTCGGATGTCTTTAACGTTGCCGTGTCCTTCGTGTACACAAGATACATTTCGGCCTTTTATTCACACACACGAGGACGCGGCGTGAATTTAGTTTCTCGCTGTTGTCCGAGGTCGTTGCGAGACTACCTTATAGCCCAAGGCCCGAAATCCAAGGATCTACGTGGAGTTATGTAGATTTGGTTTTTTTTAGAGAGCTATAATTCGTGCAGCTTTCAGATTTAGAAATTCTCGCGACCGGCGAAGTTACGGCTCGTTCCACGCTGCGATTATACGGCGTTTTTTTTCTTTCAGAGTCTTCTCGCTTAATTTATTTGTCTACTATTTTACTGATTCACTCTGTCAGAGTGAATTCTGTGAAGGATCGTCTACAATAGATGAAGTAAGCCTGGCGTAAGAAGTAAGAGTAGGAGTAAAGAAATAAATCATTTCCATTTCTTACCCTGCTTCAGCGCTGACGCTTCCTCTCGGCGAATCAGAGCGCAGTTTGACCAGTGCTACAAATATTTAAAAAAATTATGCCTGTACTTTAGCTTTTACACCGAAAGGTAAAGGATAGGTTTTCTTACTTCGTGCTGCTTACTTCCGATGTAGACGGTCCTTAACGGTAAAATTTAAACCCAAAATTGAAATTAAATGAGAATTTATATATAAGATTCTCCATCGTGTCTGTGTGTGTGTCTGTGTGTGTGTTTCTTCGCGTCTGCAAAATTTATTCCTCTCAAGACGATAGACGAAAAGATGACCGATGTAGGCGTATCTCTAACTAATCCAGTTATTGGATCATCCCACAAATAATGCGAGATGAGAGGGGGCTTTCAACCGAGAGACTTTGGTCGCGAGGGAATTGGAAGTTTAAGATTAACGTGCGAGGAAGTTGTAGATGATAATAAAAAAATATATTTTACATTAAAAACCGCATTACTTACGGAGTGACCCAATGTTACAAACACGTTCTTCGCACAGTGCGTGTGCGTCTCCGCGCGGCAACGTTTACCCGTACGATTAATTTAATTCGCGGCCTCTAGCACGGCGCATTTCCGTCAACCGGCGAGAGAATCGCGCGAAGCGTCTGGGAAACGGTTACGATGCAGGAAGTATTTTTGTAAGACGTCGTCCGCGGTCATTCATCTTCGCGACGACCCGGCCGGCGAATCGCGCGTCGCGCGATGATCCGCGC